TGTGTGTGTGTTTGTGTGTGTGTGTGTGTTTGTGTGTGTGTGTGTGTGTGTGTGTCAGGGGTGATTTGATTCATCCCCCTGTGTCAGATTTATTTGGGACAGATACTGAGGGGACTCTGCGCTCACTGCCCTCTGCTGGTGACACCGCTGCACTGCACTCAGGTCAGTCTCCACCTGCTGTGTTTGCGCCTCCCACAAACAGACGGTGTCACTGGGAGTCAGGAAGCAGCCTGAGTGCTGCTGATTAAACAGGAGGAAGAATCTGCAGCTGTTTGACTCTGAGACCAGAAGCTCTAAACTTCCCGTCTCTTAAAGGCTGATCACAGCGAGCTCACACTGATTTGGATATTTACCTCTTTCTTTCTTTCTATTTACATGTTGTCACAAATATATCATTCACATCATCAAATAAAATACAACATGTGTTTTTTAAGTAATAATTTCACTGAATGACTCCAATGTGAACTCATGTTTTGAAAGCTGAGCTCAGTTTTCACGTCCACACTCAGACGTGACTCCTGCCAGCGAGGCTGGGTCCATCCTCAGCTCGGTTTTTATTAAATGAAACCTTAACTCATTAATTACATTTTACTTTTCCTTCTTTTTTTGCTTGAGAGAAAGTCAGCTTTAATGTCAACACGTGAACAGTGATATCCTCACTTTCCACACGCAGCACAGCTGATGAGAAGAAGCTGACAGCGTGAACGTGATAACGCTCACGCCGTCCTGCTCAGCATGGAAACAGCCACAGTCCTCTCAGCTGTGATTTTTAAATCACACAACGATGACCTCACACTCTGACTAACAATCCCAGTTTGTTCTTGGGAGGAAGATGGCTTTGTGAATATGTAATATCCTCGGTTGAGCGTTACAGCAAGAAAGGAAAACAAACAAACAAACAAACAAAAACACCCAAAAAATAAAAAATAACACAATGAACACAAAGCCAAAGACCAGTCATTGAAGGATTTGAACCAAAGGCAAAAAATAGCATGAACGAAAAAGGGCAGTCATGATTATAAAATAGGGAGGTTTCTTTTTTAACATAGATTAAACTCGTTAAATAAAACAACACGTTTATGAGCTGTCTTGTTATTCAGCGATTTAGCCCAGAGTTTAAACATGTTTATACATGGTTTAGCTTCAAAGTATCTGCAGTTGTGAATAAAAATTTTCCCATGAACAAAACGTCCTAATCAACAGGTCAAAATCTGCATTCTCAGCAAGTCACCGTCAAATGTGATAACTGGATTCTCCTGAGCTGTAGCCAGCTCCACATGTCAGTCCAGGAGTGCACTGATTCACAGTAGAGAAGTGATCCAGACCTTCAATATCATCTTCACAAAATGTGCAGGCGTTCACATCTAAGTGAAGTTTCCGTCTTAAGAATTCATTGGTTGGATAAACCTCAGTAATGACTTTAAAGTGAACCTCTTTTACTTTAGGGGAAAGAGGAAGTGAGATATACTTTTTTCTTATCGCCTTAACCTCCACGGTCTCAAATTCTTTATATAATTTCTTTTAACCGGATTAGGGCAAATTTCATTTATCAAAATATTCCTGATCACTTTGTTTGTTTGTCACCAAATTCAACGACAGCTATGCAGAGCTGCCTCAGTCCAGGAGAAATTTTATCATTGATCTCAAAGAGACTGGGATGGCTTTCATCAGGGATTTATATCTCTTAGCAGTACATCAAATTTCTCACAAAACGTCTCATGTTTTAATAAGACCTCATTCTCACTCATAAAATGAGCTACAGCCCAAATCCCTTTAGATCTCCATTCATCCACGTACACAGATTTCCTACACAAACGCATATACCTGTTGTTCCATATAGGGGTACTGTGAGGAGTAAAGTTGTGTTTATAGATTCAGTTCCAGTAGAGAAGCACCTGTTGATATCAGGGAGCAGCTGACTGAAGCCTTTAAAGCCACAGAAACATCAGGAAATGCAGCTCCAAGTCCCAGCTTTGACAAACAGCACAGTGATGTGGACCAGCAGGAACCAGAACCAGATTAAAACCAGTTTGTATGAGTTCCAGATGTGATCACACCTGTTAATAACACAGAAGTGTTGGAGGCGGGGCCTGAATCAGTGTCTGCTTCCTGCACCTGTCACTTATTTTTTCCTTTAACAGCAACACTGCTTTTTTACCATCTCTTCATTCATGTTCACGTACTTAAAGCAGAGTATCTGATCCTGGTGTCCATCATCCGTCTGCCCCTCAGAGTTGTATCTGAATTCTGCCTGTTTCAGACCAGACACCATCTTTGTAGTGTTCGACTTCAACAGTCATGTAGATCAGGAGCTCCAGGCCTCAACAGCCGGTGTCTTCCTCTGTTTCTGATCTGAGCGTGTGCAGGATCGCAACATTGATTTATTTCCACCTTCCAGCAGAAAGGAAAACTCATCCATCCGTGCGGTGTGCCTGTTTGGCTGCATCGTGGCAGCAGACATGATGACGACCTGCTGAAGTTTAAACTGAGCAGGATGGAGAAGAACGGTGATTTAAATAACTTGAAGGAGTCTTTCAGAAACTGCTGACCTGCTGGGATTTTCCCACCTACTGGTTATAAGCCTATTCCAGCTGTGAGAGGCAGGCTGAACCTGGACAGGTCGCCAGTTTGTCGCAGGGCTGATCATGACTTCTCTGTACTACAGTGACCTCCATAGTCACCAGATTTCAATCCAGCAGAGCCCCTCTGGGATGTGCTGGAATGGGAGAGTCATGAATACAGCCGACATGTGTGCAGCAACTGTGACGGCATCACGGCTAAAGTGTTTGCAGGAACTTCTTAAATTGGTGCCATGAACAGGAGGAAAAGAAGGTCAAACTGGGTGCTGGCAAATTGTACCTAATAAAGTGGCACTGAGTGTCTAATAATGCAATTACAGCGTGTCACCAAGAGGTGGCGCTTTCTTCACTAAACTTTGACTTGTACAGTGTGTTGACAGCATTTCATGCAGAAATATTTTCTTCTGTATTGAAAATGTAAAATAAATGGATGAACATTTTAATAATGGCTTTTTGAGACCCTGAAAGCACTTTACAATGCCACTATTCATTCACTCCCACACTGGTGGAGGCAGCTACAGGTGTAGCCACAGCTGCCCTGGGGCAGACTGACAGAAGCCAGGCTGCCATATCGCACCATCGGCAGTAGGTGAAGCATCTTGCCCAAGGACACAACGACCGAGACTGTCCCAACCGGGGCTCGAACCGGCAACCTTCCGATCACAAGATGAGCTGCCAACTCTTGAGCCACGATCGTTTTGACCTGTAAAACATCAAAACTTTCCCAGCAACCAATAATTAGAATCTAGTTCAATAAATAAATAAGTTCATTAATAATAAGAATAATGTTCCCCATGTTGCGGCTACCCATCCACATCCACTCACCGTCTGGGCTCTATTGAAGCTGCTGTCTCTCTCCCCTCTGTTTCTCCCACTCCTGAGCAACATTTGTGGGAGTGCATGTGTGGCTCCTGCAGCCACTGCTGCATGCTGTGTGCGAGTCACCATTTAGGGCGACCTCAATTCATGGAGCTTTACACACGGTCCCGGAGTGACTTTTGGTTAATGAGGTTTTTGGGAGAAAAACTGGAAAACCTGAGAGCTGTTGGTCTGCTGTGACATTCTGTATTTTTGCTTTGACAAAGCAAGTGTTTTCTTTCTGGTAAGAGTGGGCGGTACCTGCTCCCCTTTACTGTGCTGCCTTTTATGTTGATGTACATTACTCATTTCCTGCTAAAGGGTTTGGTCTCATTGTAGGAAATTACATTAAAAGGTATGTCGAGTCTTATAGTTGTACATAGTCCTGAGGCCATTCTTCAGAGAGCTTCCTGAGCGTGCTCACTGGATCCCAGACCGGTAAAGTGTGAATGGGTGAATGACTGAATGTAGTGTAAAGCGCTTTGGGGTCCTATGGACTAGAAAAGCGCTATACAAATGCAGGCCATTTACCATTTAAAGTAGAGAAGGAGGAAACTTGGCTGACTCCATCTTCGTATTCTAACAGAGGATAAACTTCCCCGGTTAGCCTGTTGGAGCGTGAGGCTGTTCACACGTGCGCACCGCAGCAGGACTCCCACATTCTGAGCCGTCAACAGTCATCGTGATCACAACTTTCCATCTGTGTGAAGGCTGCAGGCAGCTGTGGTGCTGAGCCTGCTGCTTCGAGGTCACTGAGTCCTTAAAAAATTCGTTTTTACTAAGAAGAAAATCCAGCAGCGTGAAAGATGCTAGGATGAGAACGCTGCACGCACGAACACACACTCTCTCTGGCCACACCGACTTATTTCCTGTTTGTTTTCACAGCTAGAGGCAACAAAAAGCAACCACAGAAAACTCAGAGGAGTTGCGTGAGTTTGTGGTAAATAGATGGCACTCTTACACTTGGTTTTAAAAGCCTCTCACTGGGACTAACGTAATCTCACACCATCTCTTTTTGATGCAAAATCACTCACTGAAAACTGTCTCGGCAACATTTCATCCTCCCTGCTGAAGGGAAACTTTAGCCTGATCTATGAATGTGGACCCCAAACTGGATCTGATTGACCTGCACGTTGTTCCTCAGGGTTTTAAACAGGGCTACATTACCTGTCGTCAGTCAGCTGGTTAACTCGAGCTGAACAGAACTGATTTGATCTGAGACTTAATTTGAATGTTCTGGTTTCATAGCTGTCCCTCCTGTCACTATCAGCCACTACAGCGCTGCACTGCATGCTGGGAGTTTGTGGAATTCATCGATCAGTGAAAATCTCTGACACGAGGGCCTTTAAATGCTTCAAAACTGGAACGAATCCAATCACTCCTCACACACACACACACACACACACACACACACACACACACACACACACACACACACACACACACACACACACAGTGGCCACACTTCCACTCTGACCTATTTCCTGTTTGTTCTCACAGTCTCAGCACAGACGTGCCACAACTAAGACAAAAGACGCAGCGCACACAGAGCTGTGTGCAAACAGAGGGTTTAATATGTACAGTGCTGCTGTGTGAACACAAAGTGAACGAAGAAGCAGCAGCTCAGGATTACTGGAGGGAGGGTTCGGTCCACACGTGACCTTATGAACTTTAAATGTTTTCTAAAAGCAAAACAAAATGAAATAAAACTATAAACTACCATTTAGAAAACCTGCAGGTATTATATTATAAAAAGCAAAAGCAATAAGGACATAATCTCCTTTCATGTATCCTTTAAAATAAAACATCCTCTTGGTTCTTTTGAAAGTTTGAATCAGTCTTTCAGACACTGGTCGCTGGCACCACGTCGAGTGTTTGAGGTTAAAAACAAAGAGCAAATCTGAGTGTGTTATAACAGGCTGTTTCTTCACAGTTCACTGTTAGGCTCGTTGCTGCTGCTCAGCTGCCTCCTCGCTGCTCTCGCTTTCCTTGTTCATTTGTCGGATGTCAGGCCGTTTCCTTCTGGACAGCGTGCTCCGCCTCACCTGGGCCCGAAAAGCCTTAGAAAGGAAAAAGTAAACGAGCGGATCCAGACAGATGTTGAGAACTGACACTATTGTCGTCGCTTCCTTCAGGTTGTATAGCACCTGCTCCACAGAGCAGTTCCACTGAAAAGTATAGAGGAGCCGAACCAGGTGATACGGGACGAAGCAAACACAGAAGATGCTGACCAGCACTAAAATGTTCCTGCGAGACTTCACTAACTTTCTGGAGCCCGAGGAGGCCAGCTGCCTCTGCTGTGCCTGCAACACCCTGCGGGAGGTGCTGTGGTAGAAGAAGACCAGGGATACGAGGACCAACATAAAGATGATGATTGCACTGACGTGGACTATTGTATCCAGCAGGCTGACCTGGAAATCACAGTGGGTGGAGTTAGAGGTCAGATTCTGGGCGATGACAAAGAGGATGATGTAAACGATCGCAGGGATCAGGAGGAATACCCAGGTGACCCCGGAGATGATGTGGGCGGCTCGTACCGTCTGTAGGACGTGAGTTCCTGAAGGATGAACAATTCTCAGATACCTGAAGATATGCAATAAAGAATTTCAATAAGCGGTCACAGTGATGCTTGTTGTAAGATGCAGAAGACGTGCATTGGTGTTTACGGCCATTAATCTGGTGACAGAACCGCCGAGACCACAGTCTGATGTCACTAAAGGTTTACTACCTGTTGGCAGCGATGTACCCCATGAAGAGGATGCTGGCGTACATGTTGAGGAAGAGTGCAGAAGCCCCGATGCTGCAGTAGAGCACATGGATGGTGACGGACGCGCTGGCGTAGTTGGTGATGCGGATGGGTAGGCTGAGACAGAGCAGGAAGTCAGCGGCCGTCAGGTTCCTCAGGTAGACCGTCAGGCTGCTGGATACCCGACGATGAGCTCGGCAGAAGTAAAACTTCATGGTGAAGCTGTTGAGAAGTAAACCCACCTGAGGAGGAGAGAGACCAGGCTCAGGACGAGAGTTTGGTACCCTTACACCATTCATCCACAGAAAAATGAAGATCTCTGACTGAGTTTGATCTGCTGGTCAACGTGCCATCTCTGACTAGGCCGGAGGACATGAAGCACACTGCCCACTCGTGTGGGACTTGGTTTGTTAACGCCTTTGTTAGCACCCGGCTGGATTACTGTAATGCACTTTATATTGGGGTCAGTGCATTATATATTACTCATCTACAGAGGGAGCAAAATGCAGCAGCTCATCTTTTAACAGGCACTCAAAAGTTTGAGCACATTTCCCCTGTTTTAGCTTCACGTCACTGGCTGCCCATTTCTTTTAGGATTCATTTTAAAATTCTTTTATTTACTTTTAAAGCTCTCCGTGGCCTCGCCCCATCGTATCTCTCTGAGCTGCTACAGCCTCATACACCCACCTGCTCTCTCAGGTCAGCTGATCAGTGCTCCTGCATGTACCCAGGACTGGGCGTAAACTTTGTGATCGTGCTTTTGCTGTAGCAGCTCCAAACTGTGGAACCAGCTTCCTTTAGAGATCAGACAGGCCACTTCTTTATCTGTTTTTAAGTCACTCTTGAAAACCCGCCTCTTTACCCTGACCTTTGACACCACGTGAGATGTTGGTTTTTATTTTTATTTCAGTTGTTTTTAGGTGATTCGATGCTGTTTTATCTTGTTTTTGTTTTAATATAGGGCTGTTTTAATTTTATGTTTTATGTGTTTTATTTATTTATTTTGCTGTTTTCTGTTATTCTATTGTTTTAACTTTAGTCCGAGTGAAAAACAGGTGGAGTGTGCTTTCACCTTGGTGCGGCCTTTAGCCATGTCTGTAGCTGCTGTATCAGACGAGTTTGTGAATAAAATTGTTTACCAGTTATTCCTCACATGCCAGTAAGCAGCTAAGACCAGAACAACGAGCTGACCCCTGTTTGAGGGAAATTATAGCTCAGCTTGAGACTGGGGACACTGGTTTCACCCACCATTAGGAAGATGATATTCACTTGCTAATCAGGTAATTCGGTCATCTTGAGCTATACAATCAAATATTCCGCCGGTCAGTGACCCAGTGTTTTCTGTATTATTATTGTTATTGTTATTCTATGATTCCTTCGTTGTTCTGATTTCCGATTTTGTATTCTAGTTCTGAGGTTTAGTTCTGTGCCCAGTCAGCTTCCTAGAATTCAAAGTGTGTCACAGCTCAGGAAAAAAAAAGCAGCGAAATGAGCGCTGCTTTTCAGTCTGGTTACTACCGTTTATGTCAGAACCGATACCGGTACCCATCCCTAGTGAGGTTATAGTCCGAAAAATACGGCATACGGGTTTTGTAAAGTGATTTGTTTCGGGGCAGGAGGCTGGGAGACTTCGCGGTCTGGGATAGAGCACGCAGTTTCACACACTCTTCATTTTGCACTTTATGGCGCTGTTGTAAATAGTGAAAATACTAGTTGTGCTAGCTGCACGGCGTCAACACATTAAAAAGCTAACCGCTAACACGTTGATGCCGTGCAGCCCCACACACGGGACGATCCATACAGTTATGGCGTTAACGTCATTTTAGTGACAGTAACGCTGACAGCACTAAAATAGTAATCTCCAGATGTTTTCTTTTTGCCGAGCAGCTCCTCTTTGATAGCTGCGTGTCCAGGGTAAACCTCCGCCTGCCCCACTCCTCCTTTACAGGTGAAAATAGAGCAACAGGACCGCTGAGTCTTTGACTTTATTTATTTTCTGCTGTGTTTTACTTGCATCTATTTGAAAGACTGAGTGTAAACACAAAAAATATTTTATTTTATGTGCTGGAATGTGCAGAAAATAAGTTTAAATGTAAAAAAATGTCTTCCAGTCAGTGAATGTTGCAGATAATTAAATGTTTGCTTGATGCATAAAGTTAAAAGATTAAAACTAATAAAACAAGTTTTAAAAAGAGACTTTTCCATTTGATTACATTTTGTATGATGGATTATGCAGAAAAAGTAGAATTGGGCTGAAAGATCTATCGCTTTATGTGAGAGGATTTTTATGAAATCAAGTATAATCAAGTGTGCCTTATAATCGAGTGTTCATATATTTTCACATAACCAAGTTGATTGTTAAAGAGAACATAATGCATTCCTTACTTTAGTGTCTGAGATGTTTGACAAGTATGTATTCTTTAACCCAGTGTGTGTGATGTCAGATAAGTGTGATATACTTCTATGTTTTTATTCTTAGTTTGTGTGCAGAGGTCAGATAAGCTTAGGTAATGTCTGGCCTTTTCCCTTTCGGTTAAAAGAGGAAGTACTATGTAACCCATTTTGCCTTATAAATAAAGCAACCAGCCTGCGCTGAGTGTGTGTGATTTTGCTGAGAGGCACACACCCATGCGCATGTCTTAATACTCTCTGAGTCGGTCTGCAGTGTCTTATTTCTCTTACTTGTGAACAAATGTCTTAACCCCTGACACTTTATCACCTACTCAGGTTGTAAATCGTGTTTTTAAAAAGTAACTAAGTAACTAAGTAATTAATTACTTATGAAAATAAGTAATCAGTAAAGTAACGGGATTACTTTTTGGGGAAGTAATCAGTAATTAGTTACTGATTACTTTTTTCAAGTAACTTGACCAACACTGGTTGTAACACAGATGTGTCTGCACTGTGCCCGCCCATGCTCGCTGCTCCTGCCGCTCCTGAAGTCTTTTGTGTTACACTTGGATCTAAGACTAAGGACTGTGACAGTAACTAACCCTAACCCCTAACCCTATCCTTGAAAGAGTAGTTGTCAAACAGCTAACAGATCATCTGCAGAGGCTTATTTGAAGAGTTTCAGTCAGGTTTCAGAGCTCATCACAGCACAGAAACAGCTTTAGTGAAGGTTACAAATGATCTTCTTATGGCCTCTGACAGTGGACTCATCTCTGTGCTTGTCCTGCTAGACCTCAGTGCAGCGTTCGATACTGTCGACCATAATATCCTATTAGAGCGATTAGAACATGCTGTAGGTATTACAGGTACTGTGCTGCAGTGGTTTGTATCATATCTATCTAATAGACTCCAGTTTGTGCATGTAAATGGAGAGTCCTCTTCACACACTGAGGTTAATTATGGAGTTCCACAGGGTTCAGTGCTAGGACCAATTCTGTTTACATTATACATGCTTCCCTTAGGCAGCATCATTAGAAGACATAGCATACATTTACACTGCTATGCAGATGACACCCAGCTCTATCTGTCCATGAAGCCAGATAACACACACCAATGAGTCAAACTGCAGGAATGTCTTAAAGACATAAAGACCTGGATGGCCGCTAACTTTCTGCTTCTTAATTCAGATCAAACTGAGGTTATTGTACTCGGCCCTGAAAAGCTTAGAAATATGGTATCTAACCAGATTCTTACTCTGGATGGCATTACCTTGGCCTCCAGTAACACTGTGAGGAACCTTGGAGTCATTTTTGACCAGGACATGTCCTTCAACGCACATATTAAACAAATATGTAAGACTGCGTTCTTCCATTTGTGCAACATCTCTAAAGTTAGAAATATCCTGTCTCAGAGTGACGCTGAAAAACTAGTTCATGCACCCTCTGGCCCCCCCACACCCTCTAGCAGATTATTACATGAAGGAACCTTTTAAAAAACAAAAAACAAACGCGTCCATGCTCACAGGTGTACACACGGGTGATCACACCCACAAACTACACCCTTTTTGGCTCCTACCTCAAAGCACACTGTGTTCTGTTGATCTTATGTGCTGCACAATAATGTTTAACATTTAGTATTTACTGTCATATTCCCATAGATCATTGTGATGTTGTTTATTCTATTACTCTTGTTCTCTTCTGCTTGCTTTCTTTTTTCTTTCTCAGCAGGTGATCCAGGTGATTGATATATGCATTTTCTTTCTTTTTTTTTCTCTGCCCGTTCTGTTGGTTTTGCTGTCTTTTGTCCTTCTCCCCCGTCCCTCTTCTCAGCTGTTTCTCTTTCCCTCTTTCTTTCTCCCCTTCTTTCCCCCAGTCAAGTCTGTCCCGTATTCAGTAAGTGAAAATAAAATAAACAATAAAAGGTGAATCAAATGGACCATTACGGCAAGGCTGGGATGGTCAGTTTGGTAAAGTAAATCCGTTGGGCATCTTTCTTTGCCTTTAGACAACAATTCTGATGCAAAAGAGCCAAACGGGACAGGCAAAAAAAAAAAAAAAAAAAAAAAAAAAGAAAAGCTGCACTGTAAAAGTAATTAAAGGGCACCAAGCAACCCAGCTAAAATGAATTTAACATTTTGAAACTCCCTTGCTTATTCAGTCAGTCAGTAAGTCTGACAGAGACACGTTGTGCTTTACTTGGTGAGTTTAACAGGTGCAGCCACGGGTGCTGGCTGCATTGAGCTGCGGCCGCAAGGTGGTTGGTGCCTGCCGTGGTGGTAATCCCCGAACCAAATGGTGGACACCAGAGGTGAAGGGAGCCACCAGGCTGAAGAAGGAGGCCTATCGGGCTTGGTTAGCCTGTGGGACTCCGGAGGCAGCCGACAGGTATCGACAGGCCAAGCGGAATGCGGCTCGGGCAGTGGCTGAAGCAAAAACTCGGGTGTGGGAGGAGTTCGGAGAGGCCATGGAAAAAGACTTTCGGACTGCCTCGAAGAGATTCTGGTAAACCGTCAGGCGTCTCAGGAGGGGAAAGCGGTGCTCTACCTGCACTGTGTATAGTGCTGGCGGAGCGCTGTTGACGTCGACTGAGAAAATTGTCGGGCGGTGGAAGGAATACTTCGAGGACCTCCTTAATCCCACTGACACGTCTTCCGGGGAGGAAGCAGAGTCTGGGGATGAGGGGTGTGACCCACCGATTTCCGGGGGCGAGGTCACTGAGGCAGTTAAACAACTCCTTGGTGGCAGAGCCCCTGGTGTCGATGAGGTCCGCCCGAGTTCCTGAAGGCTCTGGACGTTGTAGGGCTGTCTTGGTTGACACGTCTCTGCAATGTTGCGTGGAGATCAGGGGCAGTACCTGTGGACTGGCAGACCGGGGTGGTGGTCCCCATCTTCAAGAAGGGGGACCGGAGGGTGTGTTCCAACTACAGGGGGATCACACTCCTCAGCCTCCCCGGGAAAGTCTATGCCAGGGTGCTGGAGAGGAGGGTTCGTCCGCTAGTCGAACCTCGGATACAGGAGGAACAATGCGGTTTTCGTCCTGGTCGCGGAACACTGGACCAGCTCTTTGTCCTCTCGAGGATACTTGAGGGTGCATGGGAGTTTGCCCAACCAGTCTACATGTGTTTTGTGGACCTGGAGAAGGCATTCGACCGTGTCCCTCGGGGCGTCCTGTGGGAGGTGTTGCGCGAGTATGGGGTGTCTGGCCCATTGCTACGGGCCATTCAATCCCTATACAACCGTTGCAAGAGCTTGGTTCGCATTGCCGGCAATAAGTCGGACTCGTTCCCGGTGGGTGATGGGCTCCGCCAAGGCTGCCCTTTGTCTCCGGTTCTGTTCATAATTTTTATGGACAGGATTTCTAGGCGCAGCCAAGTGGCGGAGGGCTTTCGCTTTGGTGGCCTCAGAATCTCATCTCTGATTTTTGCGGATGATGTGGTTCTGTTGGCTTCATCGGGTGAGGGCCTCCAGCTCGCACTGGAGCGGTTCGCAGCCGAGTGTAACGCAGCGGGAATGAGGATCAGCACCTCCAAATCTGAGGCCATGGTTCTCAGCCGGAAAAGGGTGGAGTGCCCACTCCAGGTCGGGGATGAGTTCCTGCCCCAAGTGGAGGAGTTCAAGTATCTCGGGGTCTTGTTCGCGAGTGATGGGAGAAGGGAGCTGGAGATCGACAGACGGATTGGGGCTGCGGCTGCAGTAATGCGGACGCTGCACCGGTCAGTCGTGGTGAAGAGGGAGCTGAGTGTAAAAGCGAAGCTCTCAATTTACCGGTCGATCTACGTCCCTACCCTCACCTATGGCCACGAGCTGTGGGTAGTGACCGAAAGAACGAGATCGCGGATACAAGCGGCGGAAATGAGCTTCCTCCGAAGGGTGGCTGGCCTCTCCCTTAGAGATAGGGTGAGAAGTTCGGCCATCCGGGAGGGGCTTAGAGTAGAGCAGCTGCTGCTCCACATCGAAAGGAGCCAGCTGAGGTGGTTCGGGCATCTGGCAAGGATGCCCCCTGGGCGCCTCCTGGGCGAGGTGTTCCAGGCATGTCCCACCGGGAGGAGGCCCCGGGGCAGACCCAGGACACGCTGGAGAGATTATATCTCTCGGCTGGCCTGGGAACGCCTTGGTATTCCCCCGGACAAGCTGGAGGAGGTGGCTGGGGAGAGGGAGGTCTGGACCTCTTTGCTTAGGCTGCTACCCCCGCGACCCGACCTCGGATAAGCGGATGAAGATGGATGGATGGATGGATGGATGTAAGACTGCGTTCTTCCATTTGTGCAACATCTCTAAAGTTAGAAATATCCTGTCTCAGTGTGACGCTGAAAAACTAGTTCATGCATTTATTACTTCCAGGCTGGACGACTGTAATTCATTATTATCAGGATGTCCTAAAAATTCCCTGAAAAGCCTTCAGCTGATCCAAAATGCTGCAGCAAGAGTCCTGACAGGGACTAGAAAGAGAGAGCAGATTTCTCCTGTTTTGGCTTCCTGTTAAATCCACAATTCAAAATCCTGCTCCTCACATACAAGGTCTTAAATAATCAGGCCCCATCTTATCTTAATGACCTTGTAGTACCATATCACCCTATTAGAGCACTTCGCTCTCGCTCTGCAGGCCTACTTGTTGTTCCTAGAGTATTTAAAAGTAGAATGGGAGGCAGAGCCTTCAGTTTTCAGGCCCCTCTTCTGTGGAACCAGCTTCCAGTTTGGATTCAGGAGACAGACACTATCTCTACTTTCAAGATTAGGCTTCAAACTTTCCTTTTTGCTAAAGCATATAGTTAGGGCTGGACCAGGTGACCCTGAATCCTCCCTTAGTTATGCTGCATCTGATCAAATCTGATCACGCCGCCATCTTCCTCATGCCAAAATGCAAACAAAGGCTGAAACAGGAAGTTCCGGTTCAGAGGAAGGTCGCGCGCTGGACGGATCAATCGGTGGCCGCGTTACAGGACGCACTCGATGACGCAGACTGGGGCATGTTCAGAAACAGCTCCGACGATGACGTCAACGTGTTTACGGAAGCGGTTGTGGGATTCATCGGGAAACTAGCGGATGATACCGTGGAGACAAAGACTATCACAACGTTTCCCAACCAGAAGCCGTGGGTGGATAAAACCATCCGCGACGCTCTGAGATCCCGCACCGCTGCCTACAACACGGGACTCATGACGGGGGACATGGACCCGTACAAAGCCGCGTCATATAACGTGCGGAGGGCGGTGAAAGAGGCGAAGCAGCGCTACGGGAGGAAACTAGAGTCACAACTCCAACAGAGTGACTCTAGGAGCCTGTGGCGGGGACTAAGGACAATAACGGACTATAAAGCACCAACAATCGGTATGACGAACGCGGCCGTGACTCTGGCAGACGAGCTGAACACTTTCTATGCTCGCTTCGAGGCTGCAGCTAAGGACTCCAACAATGCTAGTGTTAGCGGCGCTAACGGCTGCAGACAGGAAGATACTGCCAGCACCGGAAACGTGCTCGTCATCTCCGAGCATGAAGTAAGGAGAGCCTTCAAGAGAGTGAACACCAGGAAAGCAGCAGGACCAGACGGCATCCCAGGTCGTATCCTAAGAGACTGCGCATACCAGCTAGCTCCTGTGTTCACTGAGATATTCAACATCTCTTTATCTCAGTCGGTGATCCCCACATGCTTCAAAGAGTCCATCATTGTTCCTGTCCCGAAGAAACCCCACCCTGCTTCTCTCAATGACTATCGCCCTGTAGCCCTCACCTCAGTAGTGATGAAGTGCTTTGAACGCCTGGTCAGAGACTTCATCATTTCTTCACTACCAGACACACTGGACCCACTACAGTTCGCTTACCGTCCAAATCGTTCCACGGACGATGCCATCTCTCATCTCCTCCACACATCACTCACTCACTTGGACACTAGAAGGGGGAATTATGTTAAAATGCTCTTCATAGACTACAGCTCTGCATTTAACACCATAATTCCCTCCACACTCACCACCAAGCTGGAGCATCTGGGACTCAGCTCATCTATGTGTCAGTGGATCTCCAACTTCCTAACTGGCAGACCACAGGCAGTAAGGATGGGCGGACATGTCTCAGCCTCCACCACTCTCAGCACTGGAGCCCCCCAGGGGTGTGTTCTGAGCCCCCTGCTGTACTCTTTGTACACATATGACTGTGTGGCCACTACCAGCTCCACCACCATCATCAAGTTTGCTGACGACACCGTCGTGGTGGGCCTGATCTCTGATAACAACGAGACGGCCTACCTGAAGGAGATTAGGAATCTGGAGAACTGGTGCCAGAGGAACAACCTCCTTCTAAACGTCAGTAAGACAAAGGAGCTGATAGTGGACTTCAGCACTAAGCAGGAGAGGAACTACCAGACCCCCGTCATCAACGAGTGCCCAGTGGAGAGAGTGGACAGCTTCAAATACCTCGGAGTTCACATCACGCAGGACCTGTCATGGTCCTGTCACATCAACACCGTGGTGAAAAAGGCCCGTCAGCGTCTCTACCACCTCAGACGCTTGAGAGACTTCCAACTGCCCTCCAAGGTGCTCAGGAACTTTTACTCGTGCACCATAGAGAGCATCCTGGCGGGAAACATCTTAACCTGGTTCGGGAACAGCACCATGCAGGACAGACGAGCTCTACAGAGGGTTGTGCGGTCAGCTGAGCGCACCATCCGCTCCGAGCTCCCTGACCTGCACTCAATCTACAGCAGGCGGTGCTGGACCAAGGCCAGGAAGATGGTGAAGGACCTCAGCCATCCCAACAACAGACTGTTCTCTCTGTTGAGGTCAGGAAAGCGATTCCGCTCCCTGAAGACCAACACAGAGAGACTGAGGAGGAGCTTCTTCCCGCAGGCGATACGGTCTCTCAATCACACCACCACACAGTACTGACCCACACATATGGTTCTTACACACACTGGACATTCTGGACTTTGTTTTTGCACAACACTGGTCACTATATTCTTCATTTCCAGTTAATACTTGTACAGCTGCTGTTATTGTGTATATATTTATTTATATTTATATTTCTTCATACATTCTTATATAGTTCTATATTGTGTATTTTGTTGTACAGTTATTTTATTTTCAACTTTAATTTATATATTTTATCTTATTCTTCCCAGTTAAATTTACCCTTCATTCTAATTTGTGTTGTACAGTTATTTCATTTTTAACCTTAATTTATATTTTATTCCTTCCTAGTTAAATTTACCCTTTTTAATTTTTCATATTTATTTCCTATCTTATTCATAGCCTTTTCCTTTTTTGTTTTCTTTAGGTCACGAGCAGTTGTCCAAGCATTTCACTACATATCGTACTGTGTATGACTGTGTACGTGACAAATAAAATTTGAATTTGAATTTGAATTTGCAATAGACTTAGGCTGCCGGGGATTCCCATGATGCATTGAGTTTCTCCTTTCCAGTCACCTTTCTCGCTCACTATGTGTTAACAGACCTCTCTGCATTGAATCACATCTGTTATTAACCTCTGTCTCTCTTCCACAGCATGTCTTTATCCCGTCTTCCTTCTCTCACCCCAACCAATCACAGCAGATGGCCCCGCCCCTCCCTGAGCCTGGTTCTGCTGGAGGTTTCTTCCTGTTAAAAGGGAGTTTTTCCTTCCCACTGTCGCCAAAGTGCTGCTCATAGGGGGTCATATGATTGTTGGGTTTTTCTCTGTATCTATGAAGTGCCTTGAGGCGACTTTTGTTGTGATTTGGCGCTATATAAATAAAATTGAATTGAATTGAATTGACACCTTTTTGCTGAAATTTGAAGAAATTTCTAAAATGTAAATGACCTTAAGTAGTTGTTGAGAGCAATACGCTGATCTGAGTCACTGAAACTCACCAGAAACACCAAACTAAGGATGGGTGTGAAGAAGAGATGGGACACGGTGGTGACTGGATTACAGCTTTCTGTCTCATTGGAAAATGAAGAGCTGTTGTTGAATGAGGTCACTCCACTCATCTTTCTCTGGGTTTGGACAGAGATCATCCACATTAATATTCTTTATTATAATTATATAATAATTAAAAAATCATTTTGACAAAGAGGAGAGTGATTACTATTAATATTAGCTGCACATTTAAAGGAGCTGCTGACTTTCAAGTATCGCATTGAAGAAAACGATGTTAAAAGCTTGATCGTTAGCACAGTGCACTGACACCAACCCAGCTGAACAGCTGCCATCTCTATGCTGAACATTCAAATATGGAAAAGCATGTTTTTCTGCAACAAACACACACAGACACACTCACCCTCAACTCTCCTCGATGTCTAACGTGTACCACACTACTTCCTCTCTGCTCTTACACAGAAAGAAGAACTGCTGATAACCACGGATGTGGTTGGCGTGACGATAAAGAGCCGCGTTATTGGTCAGATAAACCACAACACACTCAAAGGACGCTTTAGGCCACGGGCCGAACACGATAAACATTTACTGAACCGACCAAAACTAAACATTCTTCTAACATCACTATAAATCGAAGCAGTCGGGAGTACGAGTCTGAGAGATTTCAAACGCCGTCTTTTTGTCTGGACTCCCGTTCGTCATGCAGCTCTTGGCTCCTCTGCCACAATGAAACTGTCACGGCTGTGGTGACGTCAGCTTCCTCTTCAACCCTCGAGTTTAGCTCCACGTGTAAGACACACAGGTTTCAGTCAGCATGTAATAAACCTGCCGCTGGGTCCGAAAGGCTCTGTTTTCAGAATCAACTTGTCTCGTGGCCATCGCTAACGGCTCGTTCTGACTTGAAATTAAGGTTGAATACATGAATAGAGGCGTCACTAAACTGACGTCATCGACGTGGAAATGATGACGGGTGGCCTGTCGTTTGGTAAGGCAGCTAAGGATCTCAGGGGTCCGGGCCGGATGTGGCCCGCAGGCCTTGAGCTCAACACCTACCTAACAATCTTCTACATTTTCTGCGCCACTAACTGAATGCATGTAAACTGAGCTCATTCATGGGATCTTGCCCGAGGCATGCTGGAGGAGGACCCAGGGATCAAACTACCAACCTTCCCATTAGTAGATGACCTGCTCTGCAGTCACCCCGATGCGCAGTCCTTTTCTTTCCGCTCTTTCCTGTGGGATGTTGTTAATTCTGCTAGTTAAAGTAACTAGTCTGATCCAATAAGACCTCAGCTGCTCACCTGAAACATTAAATGTTTTATTACTTATTTGGCAGCTGCTGCTGAGCTGATTTGGCACTGATGGACACAAACGTCACAGAAAGAGTTGATTAAACATACAGAGAGACGGCGACTAAACAAGGTTTTAGTTTTATTCGTTTCTTCAGTTATTTTGAAACACATCACTTTCAGTTGTCTAAAGGTAACTTTGTCAGGAGCTCGCTCTGAGAAAACCCTGATGAGGATGCGTCACAGTGCTGGAGGTACGGTGGGGCCTCCTGGATTCTGCACACCTGGAAGTAACAAACTCACCTGCTGGCTGTTACCTGAAGCCTTTCAGTCACCGTCTCATCGAGTTTATTGTAAATAAACGTTCTGAACTTTTTCTCCAAGTCTTCATATTGAACTTGATCTGTACCCAGTGTTATGACAGGAGAAATGACTAAACGCGTGTTAGTTTCTCTGATCTTTAAAAACACCTGTTTTTGTTACTGTGGTTATTTTTGTATTAAGGGAAACAAAAAAAGTGTCAAAACCTTTTATGAAGAAACAATAATAATATGAAGACACCTTGAATGTCACAAGAGAGGAAGCCGTGCTCTCTTCGAAGCTGTTTTTCTGGCCTTTCTTTTCCTGCCCACAGCTTTAATCAGATTTTTTCTTCTTTTTTATTGCTCGCTGTTCTCATGTGGAAACACTGTAAGAGGAACTAAAGGAGATGAGCTGATGTGCCCCATCTAAGGGTGTGACTTCTGATTCAGACTCCATTTACAGATGTGCATAGGTAACTGGATTTACCGATGTCATGGTTTTTGTGGTTACAGGGTCTATGTTAAGGCTTTGATGTTGTTTTAACCAAATCCAGAGTTGTGTTTTCATTTGTGACTGTCTTTGTCACATTATGATGTATTAAGGTAAAGATCTGAATACAAATCTTAGTTTTTAACCTTTTATATGTTGTCCAAATGTTGCAACATGTAGAGTAAAAGTCAGACACACACAGGTTATGTGTGACAGAGACGGGAAGGCTGATCGACGTCAGTTCAATCACACTATGTCCTCGCTGATCTAAGTGGGGACAGGATTCATCGTTGTAACGGCTAAACGTTGAGATGTGTACTCAAGTTGTAAAATGTGTTGATCGCATTATTATTATTGTTAACTGAGAAGCAGTATTTTAGTTATCACCACTAGGGGGCACAATTTGCCGGGACACAGTGATGTTTCTCTCATGATAAGCTGTGTGGCAGGCAGGCAGGAAAAAGGACCCAAAATGATGACGTCCGAAGCCTCGCTGCCCGGCTGTACCACGTGACTGGTTCATGAACTTTGCCGCGAGATATGACAGCGATATAAACCCTCAGACTTCATTCAAAATGTGGGTGTTTGATGGAGAGTTGTTAGTGAGAGTTTGGAGACAGTTTGGAGGTTTATGAGAGTGAGGAGAGAAAGTCAGGAGAGAATGGAGCCAGCTAAGAAGAGGAGGATGTCCTCCCCTGTGTGGGAACATTTTGATCTTATTCCTCCCAACAAGGTATGTAAATTTATACAGAAGATGTATTTTCATGATACTGATGGTGCAATACAATTTATGTTGAGCTGTCTTTACTTTTGTACAAGGTGAAGTGTTTGCTATGTGCCAGGGAGCTGGGATATAACAACAACACCTCATCCATGCTTAGGCACTGCAGAGCTTTGCATGAGAATAAGGGGAACACCGATTGTGGAGCAAGACCAGGTGAGCCATCAAATGCCATGATAATATAGGATGCAGTAATGTTACTAAATGATATAACAATATTATACAACTGTAATTGTGGTGTAATCTATATTGGTGAATATCATGCGCCACTAGGCGGCAGTACTTACCCTTCTAGACAGGAAGTGATGCTATGTTTTGATAGGGAGAGTAAGCTGGAAATAAAGATGGTGGTGTTCCACGTTATCGCCTAAACGAGGAGTTTTATTAAAAGAGCCCAACACAACATGGTGTCAGAAGTGCACTCGCTCTAGGCGGTGAACAGAGACAGTGGACAAAATAAACGTCAGCTTGGTGAACGGCTAGCGACGAAAATGATGGAGCAAGCAGCAGCTCTACCGGCGACTCCTGGCCCGGTTACGGCAGCTCCACCAGCGGCTACTTTCACCATCAAGCCACCGGAACCGTTCGACTTCACAAAGCCCCAAGAATGGGAGAAGTGGATCAGACGTTTCGAGCGTTTCAGAATGGCAAGTAATCTGAATGGTTCAACTGATGCTAACCAAGTGAACACATTAGTATACTGCATGGGAGACGAGGCTGACGACGTGCTAAGGGGACTCGACCTAACAGACGGGCAGCGCCAGCAGTACGATGCGGTCAGAAACGCATTTGAGAGACATTTTGTCCCCAGAAAGAATGTGATTTATGAAAGAGCAAAGTTTAATAAGCGAGTACAACAGCCAGCGGAAACAGTTGACTCCTTCATAACAGCTCTATATGCTCTCGCTGAAAACTGTGAATATGGTGAACTCCACGATGAACTTTTGAGGGATAGGCTTGTTGTGGGTCTTAAAGATTCATCACTGTCGGAGAGAATGCAGCTCAACAAAGATTTGACGCTAACCAAAGCTATCACAATGGCGAGACAATCTGAGGAAATAAAAAGACAGCAAACTGACCTCAGAGGCGAAAGCAGCACAAGCAAAACAGCCATGGATGCCGTGCATGTCAGAAAGTCACAGCCCAATAAATTCAGAAGCAGAGATCAAATGCAGTTCAAGCCACGAAAACCACAAATAACAAAACAAGAGACTAAAACGTGTTTTAAATGTGGAAAAACACAGATGCACCCAGCAGCACAGTGCCCAGCTAAAAATGCAGAATGCCGCAACTGCGGGAAACGTGGACACTACGGGAGAGTTTGTAGGTCTACAGCTGTGCATGAGGTGGCAGACTGTGCAGATGGACTCTTCCTGGGTGAACTGGATTCAGGAGAAGACCCGTGGCTTGCTAACATCTGCGTGAGAGGCAAAAGCATGACCTTCAAATTAGACTCGGGGGCAGATGTCACAGCTATCTCAGAAGAGACATTCAAAGACATTAAGCAGCCAAATGAGCACCTGCAAAAAGCTGAGAAGCCACTGTATGGACCAGGAGGTGCAGCACTGACCGTGCTCGGGTCCACAAAGGAGGACATTTCCTACAGTGACAGGAGCACTGCAGAGACGATCTACGTAGTCAGAAACCTGCGTGTAGCTCTCTTAAGCAGGACAGCTTCTGTGAGACTGAAATTAATTGCCCGAATGGACAATATTGACCTTGAGACGGTGAGGAAAGTGTACCCGAAGCTATGGGATGGGCTCGGGCTTGTTCAAAAACCGTACACGATTAAGCTGAAGCCCGACGCTAAACCTTATTCACTGAAAGTGCCCAGGCGTGTTCCGCTCCCACTACTGGGCAAAGTCAAAGCAGAGCTACAGAGGATGGAACAGTTGGGGGTGATCAGTCGTGTGGAGGGGCCCACAGACTGGTGTTGCGGCATGGTCGTAGCCCCTAAAAAGGACAAAGAGACAGTCCGCATCTGCGTGGACATGACACCTTTAAATGGGTCGGTGTGCCGCGAAAGATATATCCTTCCCTCTGTCGACCAAACACTAGGCATGCTCACAGGGGCGCAGTATTTCTCCAAGCTCGATGCTAACATGGGCTTTTGGCAAATACCGCTATCCAAAGAATCTGCTCTCCTCACCACATTTATTACGCCATTTGGGAGGTACCATTTCAACCGTCTGCCATTTGGTATTTCCAGTGCACCAGAGCATTTCCAAAACATGATGGTGACAGAAGTGACAGCCGGCCTCGCGGGAGTTGTATGCCACATGGACGACATCCTGGTCTGGGGATCTACGAGAGAGGAGCACGACATGAGACTCCACGCTGTCCTCGACCGTGCAGAGAAGGCGGGCGTCACCCTGAACATGTCAAAATGTGAGTTTGGCAGAAGAGCAGTGAAATTCTTAGGATTCATGGTGTCATCTGAAGGCATGAGCCCCGACCCTGACAAAACTAGCGCGGTGCAGAAGATGAAAGAGCCAAGCACTGTGAGTGAGCTTAGGAGCTTCTTAGGAATGGTGAACCAGCTGGGGAAATTCATCCCAAACCTTTCTGAGAAAGACAAACCACTGAGAGACTTGCTTTCAAATAAAAACATGTGGTACTGG